TATAGAAATTTCACACCTTACGGCAGTCTGTCAACTCCTGTTACTACAAATATTAAGTTTTTTTGGATTTTATTTTTACAATGTAATGATGAATAATGCATCTTCAAACTGGTGTCTCAACCTTACTGCCAACTTTTCTCGTTCAGGAAAAATTGCCACTTATTTCCCAACCAAGTATTCCAAATTAAAACTTTGCTCAACTTTAACTGGCTGTATTGGAAAAAAATGTGCTACGAGAGTTTGGCAAGTAACCTTAAAAGTTGGCGCATTTAATAAGGATTCCAAAATGGTATAACACTTAGAAGATTACTCGTTAACTTATGCACAATTTTTATTTGAAAAAAAAACTGATGAAAATTTTTCAAAATTTCCTAATTAAACAGCGATTTTGAAAACGCACAAGGACCCTTAAGGATAACTGTTTGCACAACAGTGGGCGTCAAAATGCTGCTGATGATGATTTACCTTTACAGCAAATGCTCAAACTGTTTGCCTTCAGCCGCAATACACGCTCGACATCTTCTTAAAAAAGATCGGGTTATTAAACGAGCGAATCCACGGTTATTAAGAAACTCAGCTGCTTCCAATAGTCTTTGCCGTAGCTCAGCTACATTTTGAATCGGCTTGAAATACACTTTTTCTTTTACAGTTCCCCAGTAAAAAAATCTAAAGGATTCAAATCAGGTGATCGGGCTGGCCACGGTATTGTACCAGACCGCCTTATCCATCTGCCTGGAAAGTTTTGATCGAGATACTCTCTCACTGAAAGTGCATAGTGCGCTGGGCAGCCATCATGATGAAAGCACATGTCCCTGTAAATACTCAGTGGCACGTTCACCAATAAATTTTGTACATGATTTTTCAAAAAATCCAAATAAACTTCAGCAGTCAAAGTCTCTGGGAACTCAAACGGACCGATTATTTTACCATTTAAAATTCCTGTCCAATGGTTTATCTTGAAGCGATATTGAGATTTATCTTCTCTCATCAAATGTGGGTTTGCTACGGGCCACTCGTGTAAGTTATGCAGGTTCATGTACCCATCTTTCTTAAATGTGGTCTCATCCGACCATAAAATTTTTTCAAAGAACTGTGGATCTTTCCTGTGTCTTTCTAACATTGTGCCACAAAAAGCAACTCGGGGTTCATAATCCCGGGGCAGGAGAGGTTGAACACGCTGTATGTGGTATGGATGAAGCACATCACTTGCTATTGCACACTTTGATACCGATCAGTACTCCTTCGTTTACTGCGCATCTTTACATGTTCGTGCTTGTTGATTTCGTACTGTTACTAATTTTGGATTCGTGAACTGGACTGTTGATCGCTTGTGATTTGGATTTGGACTGTTTAATTGCTCTTCAAAACAACATTTGCTTTCCTTAGACTATCTTTGATAGTGTGATTGTGCAGTGCCGCTATGTCCGTGTACATCGTACAAGAATATGCTAACATGCACCTCATTTATGGGAAATGCAGATGCAACGCTAGTGCTGCAGCGAGACTTTACTGTGAGAGGTACCCGAATGCAGCTCGTCATCCAGATCATCGAGTGTTCACAAATGTGCATCGCTTACTGTTCCCAGAGGGCCAACTACCAAACCAATCACACGGTGAGGGAAGATCTTTCCTTCCTTACGAAGACGTGGTGCTAGGAGCTGTCGAAGAAGACCCGAGCACTTCAGTGCGTGCAATAGAACTAAAAACAGGTGTGCCCAAAAGTACAGCCCATAGAATCTTGCAAAAAAACGTGCTCCATCCATACCACGTACAGCGTGTTCAAGCTCTTCTGCCCCGGGATTATGAGCCCCGAGTTGCTTTTTGTCGCACAATGTTAGAAAGACACAGGGAAGATCCACGGTTCTTTGAAAAAAATTTATGGTCAGATGAGACCACATTTAAGAAAGATGGGTACATGAACCTGCATAACTTACACGAGTGGCACGTAGCAAACCCACATTTGATGAGAGAAGATAAATCTCAATATCGCTTCACGATAAACCATTGGACAGGAATTTTAAATGTTAAAATAATCGGTCCGTTTGAGTTCCCAGAGACTTTGACTGCTGAAGTTTATTTGGATTTTTTGAAAAATCATGAACAAAATTTATTGGTGGACGTGCCACTGAGTATTTACAGGGACATGTGGTTTCAGCATGATGGCTGCCCAGCGCACTATGCACTCTCAGTGAGAGAGTATCTCGATCAAAACTTTCCAGGCAGATGGATAAGGCGGTCTGGTACAATACCGTGGCAAGCCCGATCACCTAATTTGAATCCTTTAGATTTTTTTACTGGGGAACTGTAAAAGAAAAAGTGTATTTCAAGTCGATTCAAAATGTAGCTGAGCTACGGCAAAGACTATTGGAAGCAGCTGAGTTTGCTAATAACCGTGGATTCGCTCGTTTAATAACCCGATCTTTTTTAAGAAGATGTCGAGCGTGTATTGCGGCTGAAGGAAAACAGTTTGAGCATTTGCTGTAAAGGTAAATCATCATCAGCAGCATTTTGAGGCCCACTGTTGTGCAAACAGTTATCTTTAAGGGTCCTTGTGCGTTTTCATAATCGCTGTTTAATTAGTAAATTTTGAAAAATTTTCATCAGTTTTTCTTCAAATAAAAATTGTGCATAAGTTAACGAGTAATCTTCTAAGTGTTATACCATTTCGGAATCCTTATTAAATGTGCCAACTTTTAAGGTTACTTGCCAAACTCTCGTAGTACATTTTTTCCAGTACAGCCAGTTAAAGTTGAGCAAAGTTTTACTTTGGAATACTTGGTTGGGAAATAAGTGGCAATTTTTCCTGAACGAGAAAAGTTGGCAGTAAGGTTGAGACACCAGTTTGAAGATGCATTATTCATCATTACATTGTAAAAATAAAATCCAAAAAAAGTTAATATTTGTAGTAACAGGAGTTGACAGACTGCCGTAGGATGTGAAATTTCTATATTTTTTTCAAAGACCTATAATTTTCAAAACACAATAAAACATAAATAATACATAAAATTTTTTTAAATATTTTTCTGATAGCTGTTATGACTTTGCCTATCACCCGGTTTCGGCTTGACGTCCACTTGTGGGACACCCTATATTCCTATATTAGTAATGTTTTATGGTTACTCTGAAATGTCGTTTAAGAATTTGTAAATCGGTCATCAAATGTGTATTTGACCATTTGACCAAGTTTTTGTAGCACAATGAAAAATAATGCTTTAAACGTATTTCAGAGCGGGGAAATATAGCATATACTTATTGTTGTTCTGTCCGTTGCAGTGGTCAGAATATCCGAAATAATTGACAATTCCGGAACATTACCATTGAATAAAATGCGTATTTCAAGGTAATACGTTAATTGATACTAAGGGAATTCAATACTGATGGTAATGATCGAATGTTCTCAACTGGTTGATTTATATTTCATAAGCATAATATTTAGATTCAACACCGATGAAAGCAATTGGCTTTCCAGATTATTTACAAAGTACATATATGGACAACTTGAGGTAAAATCATCTGCGGAAAATCCTGTCGTACAAGGAATATTTAAGGGATACTGCCCATTTTCCCTAAAACCAGACATTTTCCATTGATGGACGGTCACTTCCCTCTGAAGGGGTGCAAATTGACCACCTCTACGTAGTCATGCCATAAGTTCTGTCCCTCGTTTTCAAACAAGTGTAGACCTGTTAATACTTGTCCGATTGTTTACATTGTGGTGTCAGTTGATTAAGCGCTTTTCGGGTAATTACATATACATCAGTTTGTAATGATCTCTCGAAGCATAACGATGGAGTGGGGCAAGGCAGAGAACCGTATTGCAGTGATAGCTTTACATAAGTGTAATCACAGTGCTAGTCAGATTTTTGAACTCTTACGCGGCCTTCAAATATCGCGTAAATTTGTGTCTAGGACCATTCAGCGGTACAATGAGACGTCCTCTGTTGATGACAGGCCAAGAAGCGGAAGACCTCGTCAAGTAAGGACTCCAGCAGCCATCAAAGCCGTAAAAGCCAGGATTCAAAGGAATCCACTCCGGAAGCAGAAGATCCTATCCAGGGAAATGAAGATTCCTGTCCGGACGATGTCGCGCATCATTAAACAAGACCTAGGGCTATGGGCTTACCGGAGACGTACGGGCCAGCGACTTACGGCCACCTTGCGACACATCAGGGCGACAAGATCCAAGAAGCTCTTGGAGAGGTACGCAGCTGGGGGATTCCGAAAGATTTTGTTCACGGATGAGAAAATCTTCACCATAGAAGAAAAATTCAACCGACAAAATGACAAAGTGTATGCAAGGAGTTCACAGGAAGCTTCGGAGATCATTCCGAGAGTTGAGAGAGGCCACCACCCTGCGTCAGTCATGGTTTGGTGGGGGGTGTCCTACGAAGGGGTCACTCAGCTCCATTTCTGTAAACAGGGCGTGAAAACAAAAGCGGCAAACTATCAGAGCGACATACTGGATCCTATCGTCAAGCCTTTAAGTGGTACATTGTTTGCCAACCAACACTGGGTCTACCAGCAGGATTCCGCCCCCGCTCACAAGGCTAAGAGTACGCAGCGCTGGCTGGAAAGCAATGTGCCAGAGTTCATTGCTGCGGAAGATTGGCCCTCAGGGAGTCCGGACCTCAATCCTTTAGACTACAAGTTGTGGGACCTGCTAGAGCAGTTGGCCTGCTCCAAAGCCCACCGTAATATCGAGTCCCTGAAAGCGGATTTGATCCGATCAGCGGCAGCTATTCCTTTGGAAGCTGTGCGTGCAGTGATAGATGAGTGGCCCGCGAGATTGAAGCAGTGTGTGAAGGCCAAGGGGGGACATTTTGAATAAAACTGTTTGATTATGAATTCTAAAAATGTTGTCGAATAAATAATATCTTTCATATAAATATATCTTATCTTGTTTCATTTTTATCATGAGATTATCATGGGACAGAACTTATGGCACGACTACGTACTTATAGTGTTGCACTACACACTAAAATTTTGTATTTTTATTTCAGGCTAAAGCAATGGGAAAAGTGTTATTTGAACAAGTCTGTAAGCAGCTGCACTTACTAGAAGCTGATTATTTTGGTTTGGAATACTCAGATGCGCATGGTACAAAGGTAAATACGGATACATATACCATATATTTAAATCATTTCGTTTTCCACCGATTCCGCCATATATTTGTAGTTATATTAAAATATCTAAAAGTTATTACTTTTCTCGATGCCATCTAAGAATTTATCAAAATACGTTTTCTCTAAATAATTTCATTATCTTTTCAGTATTGGCTGGATCTCCAAAAGCCCATCTCTCGACAGCTGGGTCTGTCGTTGGTAGATCCTCTACTCTACTTCTGTGTAAAGTTCTATACGCCTGATCCAGGGCAGCTAGAAGAAGAATACACTCGATACTTGTTCTGTTTGCAAGTCAAAAGGGATCTTGCGCAGGTTTGTAACCCTCACTTTTTGCCCAGTACTTGCATAATTATGTATTCTCAATATGAGCATGAGTTTAGTATTCCACTCCCCATCCCCACAATTTATCACCCCTTCATGGTTTATACCGGTTTCACATCATGTTCTTCACGAGTTTATTGAGATGATTTTATCAAGGTCATCCTGATTGTGGTTTTGCATCAATGAATAGATGCATGGATTATCTGACAGTAGACAGTGGCTGTCAACCACACAACAAATTCTTGTTAGGAACACTGTGAGATTTTATATGTATTGTGGTTTTAATTTTGAGGCGAATCCCGATATGCAGAATCCATATTGTTGAATACAGTAATTTTGACAAAGTCCTGTACTTGAATTTAAATGTTGTTCAATATAAGATCGAAAACAAGTTTGGTACCATGGAGTTTGGCGTCCAACTTGGGAAAAATTAGAACAATATCTAATTGCGTGAAGAAATACACGAAGTTCATGGATTTATTGAACGTCAAATTCCTGTTTTATACTTTATAAATCTGCTTGTGCATTCAATTCATTAATTCGTGGATTTATCAATGTAAAACGGGTATTAGAAAAACCATAAATCACCTCGATCTTAAAACGAGGCACAGTGCTTGTATTTTGTTTTTAATAATATTTTTTTGCGGATATTTTGAAAATGGGTAACTTTGCAAAAACTTCGTGGGTAAAACCAACAAATTAGTGGAGTGGCATTTGTCTTTTCTAAGTGTGTATAGTGAATAGATAATAGGCCGAATTTTCTGCTCCCTTTATTTCCTTTTCGCATGCATCCGTTTAAATCAAGCGGAAACCCGTTGAGGCATTAGTAATGACGTGAAATGGGGCTGAAAAAGTGTCGATTAAATAATTTCACAGCAGCTGCAGTGTCGCCGCCAAAGGCGGTAGATAGTATCAGTGTTGCCAACTGCTAAAATAACAATCCGCCAGTTGATGCCTAAAATCCCCTAAACCGGTGGTCTCCCGACGTCTCAATGCCGTACGAAATAAGTAAACAGATTGATCAACGGTACCATGTGCTTAGCTTAACCGCTTACCGCAGCTGCTACTCGCTCTTGCACACTCATGAATTGAGTGATAGAGGAAAGTTATTTTCACTCACTTTCTGGAAATGCTTCTCAAAATCGATTGTCGACATTGTATTTAGTTGTATCCACTGTTTCATATCGAACATGGGTAAACACAAGTCTCACGCCTATGACAAGTAAGTTGTCATACTGACAGTGACACATATACAGAATTGCTTAAAATTTTAATAACCATTACCTATGCCTCTAAACTCAATTCTCAGTTCTGAACACCGGCAAGTTTATGAACGAGCATTGTCGGAAAATAGATCATTATAAAATAAAAACATTATCGAAATTAAAAAACCAATAGAAAATATTGGTTGTGCAATCTTGCAAAGTGGAAAAGAGGAATAAATGAAAAATTATCGGTTAAACAAAAAGAAGAACCTTATAAAAAACAGACAATATAATTATACTCGCCTACTTGTAACTAGAAATAGAATAGTGGTAAAAAATATTAAGTAAGCGATGTTCTTTTTTCTATTTGAGCATGATATTGAAAATAAGCAGTGGCGACGCGTGACTTTTCCTAAACTGTTACCAAAACCAGATGTGAAAAATCTTATTAAAAACTTTATTTTGAACCTCCCAAAGTTTTTGCTCATTTTAGGTATTTTATTTAAACTATTTTTAAATTAAGGTAAACATTCCTGGTCTGAGGACCTGGGACACTTGATATACCTCATAGTCTTATGCTATGACTAATCCAAGCCGTCCGAAAAAACAGTTGACGTTTCTAGATGTTCGGAAAATTTTTGATCTTTTTTGGCAATGAATGTTAACAATTCTCTGTAATTTCCTCTATTGTCAGAGTCATCCCCTTCAAAATGAACGGTAATTCCTGTTTTGCCAAAAAACATACGGTATCTAGAAGTGTGCTGCCTAAAACCTTGGTTAAGACAACTTTCGATTCTTGTTTTGCCAAACTGAATTAAATTTGCTACACATCTCACATGCAACGGAGAAATTTCATGTCTCCTCTTTAGAGCCCTAAAACTATTTAAATCGTTGACTCCGCTGCTGGTCCACCCATTTTTTCTGTATAAAACAGAAGACATCGCCAACAATACATCTTTTTTTTGCAACCACATAAACAAGAGTTTCCAGATACCAACTTAATTTAAAATATTAAACTACATTTTTTTATTTTTTATTATCTAAAATAGGTGTTGGTCTTCCATTTTCAATGATCTCCTTTTTTTTCTTAAAAATGGCTACTAATGATTGAGAAGTGAGTAACCAAGTCAAAAAATGGTAACAAGCCCACATAATGTCGCAGCGCCCCACGCACTCGGGCGACCGCGATCAGACACGAGCCGGCACCGAAGGTCCCCGACGGACTACCAAATGTATCCATAAATAAAAATGATAACAACCGACAACCAAGTCGAGGCCAGTCAGCTTCATCGTGTTCGCAAAACCTAGACACTATAGGCGCATTATTTTCGTGGGGCTAATTTGCTATTTACTGAATTACTATTACATATTGCTGTTGGTAAACAAATAAATGAAATTATTTCATAGTACTTAGTCATAAAATATTTATTTTTAAGATTTTTAACTGTTACCAATGGTAACAATGGTTACATGGAGGCTTCGCCACTGAAAATAAGGACCTGGCCGGTTGGTCATCCGCCAGTGCCAATAACGGAACAAGGAAAAATCACTTTTATACATCCATCTCCTTCATATATACATATACAACCTTCCTCTGTGCGCGAACGTTTGCTTGTGAAAGCTCAAATACATGTTCTTTAGCTTCATCTCGCCTCCTCGAAAATGTTCTCTCTAAGGTTAAGTTAGTAGATTTGCTTACTCATGTCGCATGGCACTGATGACAGGATGCTGTCATTCTACGTATACTACTGTAACCGCATTTCCTCATTTACGATTACAGTTTTAATTTTATTATAAAAAATATCGCAAGCTAGCACCAATGATATTATTTGCAAAATATACTTGCGTTTTCTATTCACAAGTTCATTATGCGCGATTGCGTTTTTCTTAAATCCAAGCTGATTAGAAATACAGTGGAAATTTCGCAAAGTTGGCAACATTGTTTCGAGTTGGCCGCCGGTGCCGGTGGCGGTTTTGCTTTCCGCACTATTCACCCAAACTAATTGCAGCGTATAAATAAAGCCGGCGTCTAGCCTTTCAAAGCCTTCACTTACTGACTTTATGCAAGTTTCCTGTATAGCACCGAAGAAAATGCATAATGACGTCTATAAAATCAGTAGCTTGGTGGAGTTTATTTGTATTTGTCGTATTAAAATACATATTACTAGCAGAAAGCTAATAGAGTAGTTTTCTCTTGTTTCTATAATGGGTCAAGGCCCATTTCTCGAGGTTACAATTGACTTATTTTTTTGTCTGAAGTAACCGCCATAGTACAACTATCGGATTGCAACGACTTGCAATTTCTCTTAGGCACTGTTCTCACTAACCTGACTTCGGCTATGTTGCGTTCCTTGTGCGTTCTCATCGAAGCAACTGCTAAGCAAAATAGTCATAAGTATGTAGTGACTTGCAAGAATGTGGAATATAAACAGACTATTTCTATTCTTACAAATATTTTCTAAAAGAAAATCGTATAAGTAAGTTGTTTCTCGAACAAAATTTGGTACTGTTGGGCCTTGTAGAACTTCGGATTTCACTGTTTTTTCACTTGAAACTTATAGAGGGTAGTCTGATTTTAAAACAAAAAAAGTGTGGATGAAGCCCGCTTTTCATGAAATTTAGTAGTAGTAAAATATATTTTTGAACACATATATAGGTAGGTATGAGAAGTGATCATTCACCATCTCACAGTTCCTGTTTCAAAGCTGCGTATTTAGTATCAAGGTACAGGCTTGCCACCCTTTCCCGTTCTTATATTCTTAATCACTTGAGTACTGACGGTTCCCCACCAATACGACTACTACTACTTCATAATGCACTTTTTTTCATAATTGTTAGGAATCCCATTTTAATTTACTACTGTGTTATATTAGTTTTTTGTTCCTTTTTCGTTATTTTGTTTCATTATATATATATATATATATGTATATACATATATATATATATATATAATTCCACTTTTCATATTTTTCTCTAAATACGGAGCCCAATCGGGCAACACCGCAGGCAAGCGCCTCTCTTATGACATATATGCACAGATCTCATATGGCAGATGGTGGTTTAAATAATGGCGGAAATAGCTGCTGAAAATACAGTCTTTGGGAAAAAATTCTCATAAAAAGCGTCCTTCATCTACACTTTTTTGTTTTAAAGTAATCTATCAGACTACCCTCTATAAGTTTCAAGTAAAAATACAGTGAAATCAGAAGATCTACAAGACGAAACAGTACCCAAAATCTAGCTAGGTCAATCACTCGGCATATATATTTTTTTCAAAACTCCCAATACATAACAGTGCAATAACCAATTGCAAAAAGTAAGTCCTTGTGCACAAACATATTGTGACGCTCTCGCATAGCTGGCGCCTTGAGTGGCGATAGATCGGCTTGGCAGAGTCGACGCTTAGACAACCAAAGTTACGTGACCATGTATAGATTCTGCTTGCATTCTCGACTGCTTGCGGCACAGTCGCCAGAAAGTTTACGACTCTGGAAAAAGCCAGAACATTTCTCGACGCGTCGATAGGTGAATATATATACCCAGCCCGATTGTGGAACCAGAATATTTCTTAAGTCACTCGTACACAATTAACTTTTTTGTCACACTTCTTGTATCTTTAGTTTTCATTACTGCTGCTATAACTGAATCACTCCAAAGAAACGCGAAAGAGAAGTGATTTTCTCAGATTATAAATGTTTCTTTGAGGATATGATCGACGCTTTTTTTATCTAAAATAATAGCTTTGATTGCGTATATGCTAAAATTATTCGTACAAGTGGTTATCCTAGAATATTCGCCGGGAAGAATAAACAATAATCAAATTAAAAACATAGTGAATCAATGAGTTCAATTATTTCTTAATGTCTTCTATTTATTATTTATTTTATTTAAAATACACAATTATTCCACATTAAAACACTAGTAGGTACTTCACTTACAAGGATCCTGTTTACAAATATCGAAGTGTAGATAAGGAAACAGCAATTAGACATCACAAAAAAATATAAAATTGTTCAGCAATATCATTAGCCTTATCGTATGAGTAATATAATTGAGAAAACTTTAAGACGTTTGTTCTACGGGTAGGCAAATAAAAAGTATCACATTGTCTACAATTCAAACCCTAAATCAAAAACAGGTTCTAAAGTTTCTTGAAGTATAGGTATTTTAATCATCGTCGCTGGATATTTTCAAGCTTGCCGATCCAAAAGGTTTGATCGAACAAGACAGCTATATCAAGGCTTAGTTGTATCAGTGTCTTGTTATGTGTAATAAAACCCAGTTTTTTGTTACTTTATGCAATAGTTTTCACCATATGACAATTGAAGCTATCCTCATTGTTGAAAATGACACTTAAATCTTTAGCGATTGAGAGGCACACCACCAATATCTTCTTTTAAAGCGAGGGGGCCAGAAACAGTTTCTCAGGCTTCTAATGGCTTTTTTGAATTTGTATCGAAATATATCTTTTCATAGGGTTTGATGCAATGCAACGAAAACACTGCAGCGCTGATGGCGAGCTACATAGTTCAAGCGGAATGTGGAGACTATGCTGCCGAGGACTATCCTGACCACACTTATCTTTCCACTTACAAATTTGTGCCTCATCAAGATCAGGAGCTGGAAAAGAAAATTATGGAGAATCACAAAAAACACGTGTAAGTACTCAGATAAGAGAATATTAACGTAATGGCTGCGATGTCGAATGTTGTTCCCTCTAGGCGGTGCGAGTGTGGTTGAAAGTAAAACCGTCAAACAAGCGCAAGTTTGATATCTCTTTAGTCCATGCACGATTTTATGACAGATTTGATAGAAAAGTAAGCTGTGTATAGCTTTAGAGATGACCGCCAACCTTACCAGCGCCACCTACGTATATCTTTCAAAATTACCCTCCCCCCATTCAGTTTCTAGCTAGTGATGCGCTTTTGGCGCGATAAAACCGCGATCTTGAAAATTTTTGCAAGATGTGCGTTTGTTTGAGTTTGCCAGTGAGTCTGTTTTCAGTTCTCTTCTGCTTCCTTCAATAAGTAAAAGGGGAGCGGTGGGAATGTCCAAACATCGGAACTAGGCGACACGGCTGCGGTGTTGCCGCCGCGCTACGCCGGATTGGTTGCTTTCTAACATTAAACCTAAGTTTTTACAAAACTTATAAAGTATCACCAATACAACAGAAACAATGATTTGATAAATTAAGATGTATGTTGAATGTCCTCATGTCCCTAGAAAAAATTATTGGCGCCAATTGACCATAGCACTAAGAACATATCCCTAGACCTGACTTCGATGGTGACAGACTCGAAAGCCACACTGCGGAACAACTCTTTTAAACGCAGGTGGGGAGTGGGGAGGTATACGCTAGACTGTGGATATCAACTTGAGGGCTCGTAATGTTAGGACAGTTATCAAGAACAGCTGCTCGCCCAGAGAACAGAAGTGGGGATGCGTACCGAAAAAGTTTTCGAGTACCGGGAAATTTATGATGTGTGAAATATGCCTAATAGGTTCGTAGAATAACCGAGGTTGGAAGCGTATAAATATACTAATATACTAACATCAAAAAATTAAGATATACCGCTTAAGACCCTCAATTTTTAACCTCTATATTAATCTATATATATATATATATATCTATCTATAAAAAAAAAACAAGGTTGAGCGATGTCTGTTTTTCGTTTTTGTCGCGTAGCCCACCGCTCCTGGACCAACTTTCAAAAACTACAAAGCTCTTTGGTACTTGCCAACGTTGTGTGAAATTGTGCCCGAAATTCGAGCGATCTTTTCCAAGCTATACACGGGCCATTAGCTATCGTTGAGACCGACAAACAGACAGACCGGTGGAAATGACTGACATGGTTTTTCATGATGCACATGGTATATATCCGAAAAACATAATATCTCAATATCAGATGTAAAAGTAAAAGCAGAACCTAAGGAAATGGACGCTTTAGAGGTCTAGAGAATGTTTTTTCATTTGTGTATTATGCTTGGTTCCTTAACCACAGATGTTACACGCATGTACAATTTTGAATTGGACATATTTTTTCATAAAAACTTTATTTTCATATGTCCAGATTTCTTATTTGTATCTCGAAAAACAAATGATTTATGCGATTACTATTGATGCATATTTTATTCATGGGGGTACTGGAAAGCCTTAACTAAGAAGAGTAGTGATATTAAAAATGAACTAATGTTGTGTTTAAATTTGGTAAGATCTTATTCCTGTTCTTTTTTCTCCTTTACGTGATTTCTGGTTGTTTCAGAGGTCAATCACCGGCAGAAGCTGACCTGAACCTCCTCGAAACGGCGAGGAGGTGCGAACTGTACGGAATAAAAATGCATCCGGCAAAAGACCACGAAAACGTTCCTTTAAACTTAGCCGTCGCCCATATGGGTATCATCGTGTTCCAGAATTACATGAAAATCAACACATTCTCGTGGGCGAAGATTAGGAAAATCTCTTTCAAGAGAAAGAGATTTTTGATAAAGCTGCATCCTGAAGGATATGTAAGTCTCATAATCCCCATATTACATTGAGGTGTTTTTAGCACGCTTTAAAATATCCGAAATCATAGATTGGATAATTAATTAACGCATTTTCCCAGAAGACACTGAACCCTAGGACTCTATTGTCTGGCCGAACCAAATCACATGCAATTAGTGTATATATATATATATATATATATATAGTATACTTGAAAAAGGCCTCACACTTGAATGAAACGTGTTATAATAAGCATAAATAAACCCCATTTCATGAGTATCCATGACGTTTTGACGTCTACTGTGGTGAACAGTTGATCAACAGGTGACATATTTTGATTGTTTGTTTTAGATTCATTTAGCATTAATGCTACAATATCTATGTTACACAGTATAACACATAATAAGAGATTGTATTCAAGATTACATATTTTTATACAAAATTTCATTACTATGAGCTCTGGTTTTCCATTAAATATTTTTTCAATTTCCCCTTGAAGATTTTCTGGCACACATCTTGGTATCATTACTTAACTTATTAAATGTACTATATATCTGTATTAGTCTGTGACGTTGGCAATAATGAATCGAATGTAAAGCTAGTAAAACGTACTTGTAGCATTTTTTTTGTATGTTTGTATGCAATAGACTCCACTTTTCTTTGAAAAATTATTTATTCTTAAACTTAGATCATCCTCCCCAAATGTCAATCTTCATCCTTCCTCGTAACCATTCGTAAGATTTAGAATATTCTCCGAGAATTGGAAACGCTGACACGGTGGTAAATAAGTGTACAGTTGTGAACATAAGTTGTTGGTCACAATACGTCGGTATGTTTATTTTGGCTCAGGCACGGCTCTAAATTGGTTTGGGTATCTTCTGGGAGAATACATTATGCTATACTTTCCTATCTACGCGACGTTTTGTATTAATGTGATGTTTTATTTCTGCAAAAACAGCTGAAGTAATCTGATCAAATACAGGTGGCTAATATATACGAGCCCCTTCCCACTTCAGTTGGCCCAACTATTGAAATCTTAGTTTTTTCTTATCAAACACAAACAATAAAAATGTAGCAGGGTGTTATAGGTTTAAAATATTAACAATGAATATTTTGATAATATATAGTAGAAAACACCAACTTTATCACTCCCAAATCAAATTTGCAGCATAAAAATAACACATGTTGCAATTACAGCATATCAACCTATTTTCATTTCAATGCAAAATAAGTGTATAATGCATAGGTGGCTGTGAAAAATAGTAGTAGCTGCAAACAAGTGATAGAAAATGTAATCAAGAGGGCTCAGGTTTGCGCGGCTTCTAGAGGCGGAGATTTATCTGATATTATTTTTCATACATAATTTCTAAGTTTCAATATAAGATTAAGATGAAAAAATGGACGTATTTTATTTCATTTCACAAATATCGAAGATACAAATCAGTCAGTTACATATCGGCCACCCTGTACAATACTATGTCATACAATATGATAATCTCTGTATTTTCCTCATTTCAGGGTTATTACAAAGACACAGTAGAATTTTTTTTCGAAGGTAGGAACGAATGTAAAAACTTCTGGAAGAAATGCGTAGAAAACCATGGATTTTTCAGATGTTCCTCAGTGAAAAATGTTTCAAGACACAAAACGAGAGTGTTGTCAAGAGGCAGTTCATTTAGGTAATAACAATATAGGGTGTCCTGAAAGTTGGGACGTCACAACTTCGCTTGAAATAACAAAGTTAATTTATAGTAAAACAACACAAAAAACCTAACGTAAATATTTTTTTACAGGTATAGCGGCAAAACGCAGAAAGAAATCATTGAATTTGTCAGGGACAACTACGTCAAACGTCAAACATTCCAAAGGTAAGTTTCGCATGTTATATTAGGACCATTCGTGTACTTCATTCATCAGTAAACCAAACATTGTAGCCTGATGTTAGTTTGATAGAAGTTCGCACTACATGTTTTTTTTATTCTCGATCAGTATTTTTTTCAAGCAATTGCAGTGTGAATAAAAACTTTGCTTCATAAATAAAGTTATTTTAGGGTTTGGATGTTATCTAAAGGCTTGTCAATGTTAAGACACAAAATACTTAAGGCATTATCATTAGTACATAAGAATTGAATACTACTTCAAAACATTTCTTTTCTTTTCGTACAAGGCAACTGAATATTTTATTTTGTAGTGCGTATTTTGTTATGAAAATTTTGTTTTTATTTTTTGTTACAATAAAGAATTAGTAGCTATTTTGACTTGTGGAGCATGGTTGTGTTTAGTAGTGTGTATATGACCGGAAAATGCTGTTATCCGACAGTTTTTCATACAAATCAAGGGAAGGAGGAAGGTACATTTTCGTTAAATAAAATGTATAAAGATGGAACTGTTGTCGTTTCTGAGCTTTCGTTTCCTTTTTTGTTTCCATTAATGATATGTTTCATCGTGATATTATCTGAAAAATTTCATGAAAAAGTATATTTTCTGTTATCGTTTTCCTTTGTTTTGCATTAATACTAATACTGCCTGTAGCATTTTCCAGTTTTGACTGAATTTCTCTACTCACAAAATACAATTAAAGGTTTTATTTACTATATGAAACTAATCCATGCCTAATCAAACGACAGGGGAAAACGGCCTGATTCTAACCGCATTTGAACTGTTGAAATTAATTTCAATGTTGCATTGCCGTCATATTCGCTATGATAATTTCAACACCGCTGTGATTCGAATGGAAACCAAAGGTGTTAAAATTATCATTTTGGATCATATTCATGACGTTACGAAGACGTCGAAATTAATTTCAAGGGTCGAAATTTAGTTAGAATTAGACCCAGAAAATGTGGCACTTGAAACTTTGCAGTTATTTCCAGAGCGTTTCAATTATGAGTGCTATTTTTGTTTGGGTTTGTTAATATGTCGTTTGATTGTACAGATCGAATCATTAATAAAGGACGCTTATTATTACTCCAGAACTATGGGGATTCTAGGTACCACGAAATTTTCATCATATGGCGATAGTTGCAAAGGGCGAGGCTTTCCCCTTTTAGACATTTGAAGGATACTAATCCTTCTATTATAGTCGTTAAACTTGAAAATAAACCATCTTAATTAGATGCACATTTTATTAGGTGATAAATGAGTTCAGGATGGCCAAGGTACTACATTGTGCCTGGCATAGTACCCCAAATGCCACTACCAGAGGTCAGTATTTTCGGATGTGGATATTAAGTATTAGGTTCACTGTATGGTGATGCAAATTCGAATCTACCAGCTTGTTCACAAAAAAGGCATGACTTCAATCATGAACATTTTTGAAGAATTTAGGACCAATGCCTAAACCTACTTGCCATTATTTGAACGTTCACAGCCTGCCGAATTTGCATTCTTCGACATGATGATGAATATTTCGTGATGAGGGTAATCCTAGTGATGGCGTTTTTTTATCGATGCTTCACCCTGTATACTCAGGAACAATGCTTAAGATTTGATAAAATTTCGTTTATTGATCACCACTTACTCGAGCATAGTGATAGCTTTCACCAGCAATAGAGACACCAATTTACAGTTATTCTCACTGGAAATATGTTGGATGTACATAACAAAAATAATTGCATGAATAACTTGATGTTATTATTTTCTGTGTTTTGCTCCATGTTTTCCTAATTGGTAACAGGATATAGAAACGACAAGCTGTGCTCCATATAGAAATTATTATCCACGAAATGAGCTTTAGTTAGATGGTGATGAGTACGCTAGAAAAACTCTGCAATCGTCCATGTTTTTAAATGAAAGGCTAAATAGCTTCGTTATTTTCAGACATTAAACTCTGTTAAATGATAGATGCCACCGGCAAATGTATACAGTGTTCATTTCTGGACTTCCAAACTTCGTGCACAGTGCGAAAATCAAAAGTTCGCTTACTGTTCGCATACCAAGCAAGATTGGTTTCAATTGCTTTATAGGAGAAGATTTGAGCTTTAATTTAGAGATTTGACAACCTTGAAAGTAATAATTTTAACCGAATTTTTGAGGATTTGAAATGCACCGTTTAGGGTCTCTTTGATATCGAATCGCTAATAACTCGGAGACGTCGTCTTTGGAAAAAATTTCCTAAGGACTTTTTGTTCAGAATTATTTGAAAAACCGAACCCGGTTCGAAAAGACCACCTACCTGGGTGCATACTGAAATTTGAGAAGATAATTCACGTTTCTAGAAATAGCCATGATAACTATTTTACACATTTTTGAAAATTAATATTTTTGAGGTTGCCACGTGTCTGAATTTAAGCTTACTAGAACCAGAAGAGTATTTTAGGCGCAGTTGATCCCAAATCAATTTTTATCCATAGTCGGTGGGCTATCAAATTTGTTATGCAAATCTATTTATTGTCTAGTTCACGAGTATTCATTAGGTTTTGACGTCTACTGAGGTGAACAACTGATCAGCAACTGACCTCTCTGTAAAGCTGTTGTTCACATACCAGTTTTGCATAGAGAATTTTACTTCTTGAAAACCAAAAACATAAAACATTGTCAACAATCAGATCAAGCTGCATTACTTAACGTGTCCCATTATAAATGATTTGTTATAAAAAATATAATTATTTGTATGTTTCATCTATTGCAGAGCTTTTTGTGTATTCCACCATCGATTAGTTCTTAGCCTTAACTGTTACTCTGTTAGCCAACAAACAAACTATGAAGGCGGAATACATACTTGCACTACAAAATCAATTAATCGTTGAAATCTCAGGCATATTTATAATTTATAAAAACGTGCTTCTGTTTACTAAACTATGCTATGGATACAAGTATAGCTTCTCAGCACTAATATATTTTAAATTGTTTTTAATGCCGTTCATTCTTTTTCATTAGTGTCATTAACAATTCGTACAAATGTTCAAAATTTTAAGTGTCATTTTCCTTTGAATCATCTTTTACTGATCATGTATAACCGCTCATAAGGCACGAATATCTGTTGTTCAGACAGTTTCATTCATTGCTGGGAAAGATTAAACATAATAGCAATGACGGGTTGTTTTCACATTTATGAAATAGGAGGAATTTTATTGCGGTTTAACAGGATACTCGTATTTTGATAGAAGGTCTGCTCATGAAAATCAAGGACATGCTTACACTGTGGCCAGTAATGCTGCGTGAACGTGCATATCAACTGAGGCCATCATGGCGACATTCGTCATTTGCACTTGTCTCGGCACGTCGTTTCAATGCGCGGCCATTTGATAGCCAGTCTAATGCTATGTTACCGCGTTCAAAAAATTAACCTAGCTGAAAGAGATATCTTAGCGTCATATATGAAAATTTGTCACAGGTGTTCTATTCACCATATATACTTTGAAAAGGTTACTTTGTCATATACACGGTGTCTCATTTTAATTAAACTTCAATATTTCGACAAATTCCGCCTTAAAAAAAAAGTTTCAAACAAAAATTGTAGGGTTTCGATGGTACAAAATGATGGCGACTTTGTCCACGAACTTCAATGTCAACTGAATATTTTCAAGTAGTAACCCCGTTTTCACATTGCACACCTATGGATGATCCCCACAAAAATCACACCTGTGCTGTCTAAGATTTTTGCTAGAGAAAATTGTTTTCGATGTCTTGATTTGACTTTGAAGTGACCTTGAACCACGACCAAGGTATTGTTTCGGCGTAAAATTTGCTCCTCTTTTCATTTTCGATGTGAAAAAGTGGGAATTCCGCTTGAAAATATTCACTTGACCCCGGAATGACCTTGTAGGTTGTCAAGGTCGCTATCGTTGTGGCCCCTCGAACGGTTGGTTATCTCCAGGTAGAATACCTTGATCGTGATCGTGATGATAGTGCAACCGAACCCAGGAGAAATGTTTCGCTTCCTTTTCTTTCAATGATACACCTTCAGATGCTTTTGAAATCTGCTACTGTCGCATTTTTGCTGTGAAATATTCCACTTTAACGAAGTATGATAGCTATAAGGTTTTCCTTTCTTTTTTTACATTTGGCTTTAACTATTTTATAGTGACAAATAGTCTCACGGGTTGGTCTCATGTCGTTATCTCCAATCACCGTCGAAGCGCCACCTTTACAATGCCGTACTTCTGATTTTGGCCATTTATAACCTCAGAAGAATTATTTATCCTCCTACTTTTTGAATTACGCTCACTCGTATTATTGCTCGAGATGCTACTTTCTACAATATAGGTATTAATATTACGTGGCAATGAAAATCATTGAGCTCTCGAACGCCTGAAAGTGGAAGCTGCTTAATTTAGAATTTGAAAATATATGATTATATCATGTTCGAAACATTTCCATTATTCGGTTATGAAAAATAAACTCGCAAAATAGTAAACCTGTTATAACTGAATATTTGAAAAAGAATGAAGTTGCAAATAAAAGTGATGTATCCACTTTCCTCATTCTCTTGTCCGTAGGTCGCACTCGTTCCGTCACTCTAGCGCCCATTCGAGCGCCTCGAACGTTCACTCCTCGACTGTCGGGAACAGCATTTCCGCTCACCCCCTCCTGCCTCTTGCTGACAGCCAGCTCAGCGGTATGTACCTTACCTTAATCTGTGTCTCTCTCTATGTTGTTGCTTGCTTCTTTACAATTTAAGGCATTGTAGGTAGAAAATTCTTCGATTCCAGTTGGTACTTGCGCCTCAGGTTACCCATTATGCTCGTTTTGCCTAGTCTGTACTAGAATCATACTTGGACCATGCAGAAACCTTAGCACCATCATTTCACTTACGCTTCTTTTTATTTCCTCGTGCAATGCATACACAACGGCGCACCTTCCTACGATGTGGGGACAAAAGGAATTGTATATTTTGCATCCGTCTTATTATGCAGATCACCCTGACTGCTCACTTTTGTTAAGAATAACGTCCAATGGAAGGAGGCACAAACATAGGGGTGGAAATGGTTCAGTAAGAATCATTTTAGCCTAATTAGACACACACATAAGTAGGTTTTAGCACATGGTGCTGTTAAATATACGTGGACAGGGGAAGAAAATTACATGTGTTTTCTCTTCAATGACTAGAAAACGAGTGGAGGACGCTTTTTCACAGGTAGGTTTTGCTATGAAGTTCAGTAATTTTGAGTTGGGGATGAGTATAGATATGCATAGAGTTGGGCGAAATAGTCGGATCTCATGGATGGTGGAACCATGACAACTGCTAAGGAGACGCGACATGATTGCATGTGGCAGTGGCTCGCAGTGTGTATCTAGAAACTCTAACGTAATTTTTGGAGAGAACCGCTGGCCAGAGCATACACATTTGGTAATCGTTTCGAATCTGCTCGATTTTTAGGTCCTGGTATGTCTCTAGTACGGGGCATTAATAAACTAGTATACCAGCTGCTTCTTTCAGCGATATAAGATTTTTCTGGTATAGTGTCAGTTTTTGCTTTTTATTGTAGTTTGTGAATGTTTTTAATCGTAGATATGCATCCCATTTATAATTCTTCCACTCCGAACGCAACTTTGATCAGTTAACAACATATCCTCGAAAATGCAAATCCCAGGATGATAGTAATTAATTTATTAATGATAATTCAAACATACATACCACAAGATATGGTGCTGGCTCTTAAAATAAAAAAAAAACAGTTTTCGAAGACAGTTTCAAACTGCTATGCCGTAACATTCTCTAAAAAAAATTGTATTACCTATCTAACATTCAAAGTCAAAACATTATTCAAATTGACACTACCGAAGGTCTTTTGCTGTGATGCTCACTTGCATATTTCGTAAAATATATTTTGATTAATGTTGGTCATTCACATACAAGCAGCGTTAAAGGTCTCTCGCCAAGTATTTTAGATGCCACTCAATTGATTTATATCGATATATGGCATATGTAGTAAGAAGTAAATAAGTATACATCTTGTCTAGACTGTCAATGTTGCGGAGGAATTACTATGCATATATTGTACTGAATGCCTTTTCAATGAGACGTTAACTGATATTTTGGAAGAACGAGTGTAATGGGAGGCGATCTGGAAAGCAGATGGCGCTAGTTAGGTTGGAGGTAATGTGTAAACATCTTAATAGACGTCAAAATGTGACGAAGTCGTGAAAATGGTACTTTATCTTTCTATCAAATCTGTCTTTTTTTTATCTACTGTTGACAGTTTGACCTCCATCCATACAAGTGCCACCTAGCAGGAGCAAAATTGGACAGTTGCCAACCGCATTGTAGATATATTTTGTTTACATGAATTTTATATGGTTTTTGTTTTACTTATGTATCTATTGTTTTCTGTTTAGTGGAAGTGTCCAAACAGTCGTCGGGATACCCCTGTTCGACGGCGGCGTCAGTTTCAGCCTCTCTGGCCGGCACTCCATCGGCGCACAGACAACACTCTCCCAATGTGGATTCTCTGACGACGAAATCAGCCTCTCGCCTCCCAGGTTAGATACTTTCACGTACTCAGAAGCAAGATAAGTGGCATATTAAACACGCTTTAAGGCTCAGCAGGCATTCATTATTCTCCATGAAGATCCTCAATTGAAATAGGCATTAGAGAGGTCAAAAAGGGATTGAAGGTCCTAGCCCAATGTATGGGAAAGTAGCAGAACCAAAAAGCTCACTTTTCTAAAAGTATCTTTCTAAAGTCATTTTTGTATTTTGCTACTGTCTCATGGATGGCGCTAGCATCTTCCAGATCCCTTTTTGACCGCCTGAATACAGTATATGGTTTACTATTTTAAGGTATGATATGTTAATCAATGTTGACACTCAACCTCCCACGGAGAGTAGTACCGAGGCAGTGTATACACTTTACAACGAATGTCATACGTCAAACTACACAATCAAGAAATGTATCATTTGCCCACATGTATTTAGGCAATACAATTTTTTGAGAGGCTTTGATATTGAATGTAACCACCGACACCAGTAGCAGCAACGGAAATCCTACTAAACGCATACGACTCAAGTTGGCGTTGATAGAACCTTATTTTTGACAGACTGTCGCTTCTGGTCAACAATACGAATAAATTAGTCTACCAATGCCTACCAGCGGTGTAAAAACATAACAATACTTAACGGTGGAAACACCTTCATTAAGCTTGTGCCGCTCTTTGCAAATTATGTACGAGGTACCATGTCTTGAAATCGTCGAACACCACAGTTATCTGTAAACGCTCCCACTTTGAAACACTAAAAACACGATTTTAATGACCAAACTGTACTAAAATTGACTTATTTCAAGTGCACTTGTGGTATGCACTTTGATCCTCATTACATACTAGGAGAGTTAGGAGACAAATCCTTGACTGGATCCGTCTACCTAGCCTGAATTCGTTCCGTCTGATAGTCCTGATACAATTTATTGTTCTTAGCCTTACAGCTTTAACATATACACAAACATAAATAAGTATGAATAAAAAGAGAAAAGACATGTTCTCATAGCAGAGTAGCAGGTCACCCGTTTATGCTACTATCATGTTTGCACACTCGTTCCAAATATCCACTGCGTAACTGTTAATTTTACCATTTGAAATGAGCTGTGAAGTTAAGCTTCCACAACTGCTAATCACCCTTTCCGCAAGCATACATTCTTCTCTTATATGCTTTGCACTTTCAATTCATCTGCCACACTCACATTTACCTGTTTCAATCTTCAATCTAAATCTATGCGGTAGGCCGAAAAATTAACATGGTCGGTGACAAACTGGCAAGTCCTGCCTTCTCCGACCTCTTTGCATACTCCATGTACCCACCTTCATTTCTCACTAGTATCCCACTTTTGCTGCCATTCTCTCATTACTTGATCTTCTAACCCATATAATCCTTCCTTCCATGCCTAGTTCGTTCATATACTCAAGCATTTCCTTCACTTTCACCCTGATCTTACCCTTCATCCCTCGTCCATTTATGCATCTGGCAGCGACCTGACTGTCTGTTGTTACTGCCAGCGCGACCATTTATGCTCCTTTGCCTTTTGAAGACTACCATCGATCGTTCATTTACTCAACAATTTCCTTCACTTTCACCCTGATCCAACCCTTAATCCCTCGTAAATTTATGCATCTGTCGGCGACCTAACTATCCGTAGTTACGGTCAGGGCGAACATCACTCCGTGTACTTCATGGGACCACACGCCCTCTACCCTTTCTATCCATTCCATGCAAACTTCATTGTTCTTGTTCACCACACCAGTCTTACATTCTTTCATTCTAAAATCTGCACTTGCTATCCACCCTCTTTCAAATTCTTCCTGTCTGTCTTCTTCGTTCATCTGCACGTTTTCAAGTAGGTTTCAATATTCTATGATTATTCCTCACCTTAAGCATCGATTCATAATTTCCATTTTTTTACCACGCGGAAAATTAAAAATCAGTCCAGTTGACCATTTTTATTTTTTTCAGGCACAGCTACATCCTGGAGCACGGCCGACATCAACACCACCAGCGGCACTACAGCCACGGCGGCGGACCCAGCAGCACCGGCGCAGGGTACTACCCCACCTCCTCAGACGACGAGCTTCTCGACACGCCGCATCGAAACAGGTACCACCATCACCACCGCCACTCCCATCACCCGGATGCCCTCTAATGAGGGCTGTCCGTCTCAAACCCAATCGCAGAGCGACCTAGATCGTACCGTGGATTACACTTACGCTAGTTTGCCCAAGCGGCACGTGTGGCGACGCAGCGCCAGCTGCAAAGACCTTTACGATTTCAGCTTCGAGGAAACGGGACAAGCTAAGCGTCGGTTACAACCACCGCGACCTATGGAGAAAGCTGTGGCAAGCTTCGAAGAACGGAAACTTGAGTCACCTATTACTCGGTATGACGAGCGTCCTATATATAGTGCCAGCTCACGCGACAGCAGTCTTGAAATACAACAAGACATCATGGTACCCGATGAGAAAGTTTACTCGAGTAGCTACCCTGGAACCACTGGCTTTTCCGTCGAAAGCATGGAGGACCCAGGAAACTACGACTTGCGTGATTCTCAGGATGATATCACTCACGATAGTTACGAACTCATTGAAAAATCTGATGACGATTACAGTACTTCTGGGGAGTACCACAAATACAAGACGAAACCTTTCAACACTAGGAGTTGTAGCTTGGATTCAGGCAACCACATGCCGTCGGACAGCGAGGAGGAACATGATAAACGACATAAATGTAAAAGTAGCTCGGATGTGCGACAAGATATTTTCCTCATGGACGATCCTCGCGACCTACCTAGAGAAATCATCCCTAGAAAGTCAGATGGCAGCTATTACAAACACTTCAAACAAAGCTCTAGGACGTCTAGCTTGGAATCCAAAAGCGACTATTACGAACCTAAACCTTACAAATCTAGTAGGGAGAGTCTCAAAAAGTCACACAGAGATCATAGTTTTGGATCAAGAACGTCGAGCTTAGAATCAAAGTCGGACTACGAGGTTAAAAAGACCACGAAGATTCTAAGCGCTGAACATGTGGAATCCAGAAATGGCTACCTGGATTCCAGAGCTTCCAGCTTGGAATCTAAAAGCGAATACTATGATGCACCTTCGAAATTCGTTGTTGATGAACCTAAATACGACTTCAAGCATAACTATGACCGTAAGATTAGTTTTGAGCGAAACTATGGGTTCCACAAGGTTCAAAACCAAAACCACGACAACGCTGAGATCAACAGGAATTTCACCCATGTGCATTCCGTTAGCTTGCAAAATGTAGAAACAGAACAAAGCTTGAAAATTAACCAATTATTAGCTAACATAGAACAAAACACAGTACCAAGAACTCAAAAATCCTCGCATCATTTCAGACCACATTCTGGAGACCGTGTTAGTGCTCGCATTTGGCCTGATGAAATACCACCTATACCTTCTGAAGTACCGACATGGCCACAGCAACAAAGTTCCCAAAGATCAACGGAGTCCGAAACTAACATTTTCAGTTTTGATGATGAGAAAATCCAATCTCTACAGGAAAGTATGGATTCTGACGTTTGCCCTGACCATGGATTCAGCGTAGTACCCAATTTAGACAACCAATCTAAGAAACTGGATAAGCGTAAAAATTACCGAGACGTATTCATGGAAATAGAACCGCGGATGGTTCATGATCTACCACTTCATCAACCTATTGAAAGGACAAAGTCGGATCCAAACTCTTTAGCTCGTCAAAGATTGAATTCTAACTCTAGGAGAATGTTGTTGATGCATCAGAAGTCTATAGATTTGACACCTGCAGAATCTAGCGATGAAGACTATCTATACAAACAAATACCAAGTGCTCCACCTATAACGAAATATAAAGGTACGCATTTTGAAATGCCAACAGCTGAATTTGGCCATTTTGATATTTTGAAACGAGAAGTCGAAGGGCTTAAAACGAAATTTGAAGTTCCCAAAAGTCAATTCGAAATACTTGGTGCAAAAACTCAGTCAGATTTCGTCAATTTGCCACCCAAGGACGAAGAAATTCCGTACGTGTTGCATAAAAGACACATTTTGAATGGCGCAGCGCAAAAAGAAGAAATTAAGCAATACGAAAAACCTGAACCTCCGAAAAAGGGTATCGTTGAAGTAAAAGAACCGCTCAAGTTAGAGGAATTGAAGAAGACGAAAACGAAAGAGAGCAAATCAGCGAAAGCTAGTGAAACTTCATTTTTATTCACGCAAAACATCGATTTATCCAAAGTTGATCCTGTCACTTTAGAGGTAGATAAAAGTGTTGCGCCTGTTCAGCATTCTTTAAGCCCAAAGAGGGACATAACGCACATAGATCCTGTTCTTCTAGAAACGCTAAGCTCTAAGTTGAGTCAGATCGAAAGCGATTCTCCTACAAGCTCCAAGACAGAAAGCATCAAGCCACAACACAAGATCTTCGTTATGCAAACTGAAAGACAAGTGAAGAAGGAAATCAAACTTGAAGATAAAGCTGTGCAGAAACCTGAGGAAAAGAAGGAGCCTGATATTAAGCCCAAAACGAAGATCAAGACTGATATCAAACCAAAGCGAGTGATAAAACCTAGGATGCAACCAGGCAAAAAGAGTGGTAAAACAACAAAAACTAAAGTCAGAATCACCTCATTCAGTTCTGATGATGAATCGCTTGATTCTGACGATGTCTTCGGTAGTGCAGAAGCGACTCCTACCAGAGTGGAGTTCTCACCACCGCAGATGCGCAAAGAAATGGAGTCGATCCTCAAATTTGAGTCTGAAAGGAAGTATTTGCAATACACCATGTCATCAACTGAAGTAGAAGGTTCTCCGCCTACTTCAAGGAAGAAGACTGAGAAGCCTCACGAGAGTAGCTTTGAGACAGTACCAACTGAACTGAGGCGCATCTCAGAAAGATCTATTTCTATACCTAGCTCAGAAGATGAGTTTAACGTTAAGACAACCGATTTACAACCGGTGTTCTCAGAAATATCTCAAGGTGCTCTTAGAACAGTTGATGAGTTAGACAGAGAAGATGGTGATAAATCACTAGACGAAACATTGAAGGAAGAACTGTCAACTGAAAGAGAATTAACTGCAGAAGATCAAGAAAGATTAAGAGAAAAGCAATTGCTTCGGGAAGAGATAGAGAATGATTTGAGAGATTTGAAAGTACCTCCGAAGACAAAGATCACAGAAATACCTTCTCCAAGTCTTAGAAAGCAAGGACATAGTCCTTTACTCTTTGCTCATGCTCGATTGAACTTGTCTGAAGGCTCTGCTTTCACTTTATTACAAAAACAACAAGCTCTAGATTCTCCCATTGCTGGTAGAAGAGCTAAGAGCTTAGATACTCCTATCATCGCGGTAAGCAGGTTGCCTCCACTCAATGCTTTTTCAAGTAAAGATGATACCGTCGCTGAAGAAGACCAACAGATGACTGATAAGGATAGTGGGCTTGAAAATAACCTCATAAGTGATAAGTCGACAGAAGAAAGGTCTGATACTGACATGGATGAGCGACGCAGACAGTACGACATAAGAGAAAGTAGTTCTGATGTGGATCGACCACCGACAGAATATAAAGTAGCTGATTCTGTCACTGTGACCAGAGAGATCAAAATGACGAAGGAGCAGGTTTCTGTGACAAGGGAGGTGAAAGTTACTAGACAAGAGGTTAAGATAACTGATGACTCAGCGAGTAAGAAAAAAGAGAAAGAGAGGGACCAAATAGTACCTGATGTGAACAACGTTGGATCGAAAAAGAGCAAAACTACTGTTCATACAAAGCAATACACTCAAAAATCAAAAGCTAAGACTCCCCCTAAACCGCCTGCAAAGGACAAGCCTACAACGAAAGTACCCGCAAAAGCAAAAGTTTCTGAGGTTAAGAAAGATATCGTTGCAACGAAACCCGTCAGGCCAGTAGCTCAAAAAGCTTCATCAACTGAAAACGCTAGTGTCAAACAGTCAGACAGATTCTTGACAACACCCGAAGTAAAACGAACCAAAAGCCAAGAAATTGAAACCACAAGTAAGAAGACGCCTCCAAAGGAAAAAGCGAGATCATTGGAGAAACTCGAACTGAAACGTTTGGGCAGCAAAGAAAGATCACGATCACAAGAAGAAGGTGAACCTGACAGTGCCAAAAGAAAAGAAAAACAGCAGATGCTTTATGAAATAGCAGTACAATCTACTAAGACTCTCAAAAGTCCTGTCAAAGAAATTTTACCTGTATTTCCAAAAGTTGAAGAGATGGTACGTGAACGTGGAGGTAAGCTAGAAATCAGCATAAACACCATAGAGCCTGAAGTACCCTTAGAAGATGCTATTATAATAACAAAGTCACCGAAAAAGCTGGACAAGAAGATGGGCGAAAAATTAACAAAAAGTTTAGATCTCAATGTACCTGACGAATCAAGCAAAACCGTTCAGAGATTGGGTAAAAGTTTAGATCTAGACAGTAGAGACAAAGATGAGCAATCATCTGGCAACGAATTCGATTTTAAACCAGAATCTATAAAAGCATTGCAAGACAAAGAACCTGTTGAAGAAACCTCACCAGAAATCGATGTCGTTCAAGAAACTGTGACGGCAGTCATCCACGAAATTCCCGTAGAAACTGAAATAGACGACAAAATAATATTAGAAGGTACAAGTCTAGACGTATGGCTTTCTGTTGACGAGCCCAAAGAAACATTAGATAATATCGAAGTGATTCAAAAGTCGAACGATTTTTTTGAACAGGGTACTTCTTCTAAGCCACCGGATCTTAGCAAATTAGACACCAAGAGCTCTTCTGAATCGCAGAGCTTGGAAAGGGTGAGTTTGGGACATACGTTGGATATGAGGCACATTGACTCTTCAACAGGTGATTCTTCTTATAAATCTGAAAAAGACGCACAACTTGTTGCCGAAATGCAAAAAGCATCTAGTACGGTCAGCAAGTTTTTGAGGAAAAAATTAGAGAAAAGGAGACAGATCGAACAAATAGAACAACAGGATAACACTCTTGTTAAAATTACTAGTGAAGAAGAATCTCTAACAGAAGTTAGTGATTTGAGAGGTGAGACATTTGAAGATAAAAATTTCCTTTTGGCAACGGATCCAAGAGACGCA